GATAGAAACACTAAAACAACGCTATCGCAAACATCTACTTGCACGTGTTGCTGCCTTAGATACAGAAGATGAAATAGTTTTACGACTGAAAAATATAAATTTGAAAGATGTTGTTTAATTAGTGGTGCAGACATGGATTGAAATTCCTGTGTCAGTTATACAAAATTTATTTTACTCATTTCGTAGAAAATAAAAAAACGTTGGATGACTCCAATAAAAACATCAATAATGTTATAAATGCTTTTATGTGATAGAATGTGCAAAAAAAAAGGACTTACCCTGATCAAGGATTACGCTGCATTGAGGTTCTTTTGTTACTAAAAATAAGAAAAAAAACAATTATATGTAATTGTTATGGTTTGTTTTGGCAATTAGTGCTGTAGTAAAACAAAGGTTTATTAAAATTTTATTGTTAAATTTTTTATTTAATATAATTAATAACTAGGCTTATATGATATACAATGATAATAAAATGTTTCCTTTTGAAAAATAAAACTGAATTTTTTTGTTTACACAGTTTAGTTAGTAAAAGAAATATTTAAAAATATTTTCTAGACGGTAAGTATTTTTATACTCCTTTTTTCCCTATAACTTTTCCCAATAAGAAACTTTTTTATTTAAATTGATTCAAATGAGTTGCTTATATAGAACATTCACTGTGTGTGTGTATATATATATATATATATATATATATATATATATATATATATATATATATATATATATATATATATATATATATATATATATATATATATATATATATATAATATATATATATATATATATATATACATATATATATATTCTTTTTTTTTCTTTTTTTCTTCGACACTTTTTTTTTTCTTTGACACTTTTTATTTAAGAGACTTAGTGGTAAGACTGAATTTGTCTTTTTCTTGCCCTAGCCTTGTATTTATATATTTGTATTTGCTTAATCTCGTAAAATTTATTAAACCCGAAAAGTATATTGTATAAAAAAGTTGTGAAAAGAGAACTTTTTTCTAATTCAATTTGTGGAAAATCTTGGCGAAAAAAAAAATTAAAAAAATTATTTATGCAGGAGTTATGGTTGTTTTAGTAAATAAAAAACGTTTTAAATAATCAAAAAAAGCGCCATTGCGCTTTTATTTTTATTATTAAAATTTATTTTAAAAAAATATGGTTCCTCGCTGAAAATTAGACCTACTGTATTTCAGGTTTATCAGAGCGTAACATGCATAAACTGCTATTAAAAGTTATGCTGAGCTCATTTGACGTTACACATGGTTATGATGTCACCAATAATTTTTCAGCACTCTTTAAAATATTCTTAGTGTGTTGTTAAAAACTTTCCTTGTGTTGTAAAAAAAAAATGTTGTTTGTTATTGAATGAGTTGACAACTGTTTTTAAATATTTATACAAAACATACGATAGACTTATAGTAACATCAAGCCTGATGCCAAGCGAATAAATGAAATTGTTATTAAAAGAACACTATTATTTTATCCTTAAATATGATTTAAGTTATGTATTTTTCATATTTACGTTGGTGATAATGTTATTGATACATTTAGTTTTTAATTATACTTAAAAAAATAACCGTAAAAACCTAGTGTTTGACACTCTGTATTTCACTCTTTTAATAACACGACGCGATTACTGTTATTTATTTAGTTGCTTGTTGTTAAAAAGGTACATATTTTTTAGGGCTTTTATTTTATTAAGATTAGGTCCTTTATTTATTAATTAATTTATTAAAAATATTTAATCAACTTTACATTTATATTTTTTATATTAGTTCTTTATACAGAAGGGAGTAAAAAAAGAATTACCACCTACCCCTAAACACGTCACAAATTTTTTTATAAAATTTATTTACATATAAAGTCTATTTATTAGCAAGCTTTTTTTTTTAGGATTTAATAACTTTAAAATTTTAAGAACGTAATTATAACTTTCTTAAAGAAAGTTATAGTTACTTTCTCAAAATTTGTTCCTAATATTTTAACTTTAAAAAAAAAAATTAATGAAACTTTCTCAACATTTCAAAATTTTTTATTATAAAATTAAAGAGCAATAGAAGCTTTTAATTCTCTTTAACTCTCTAGAGAACAATATCTTTTGTTCAACACTGACAGAATATCTTTTGTTCGACCTATTCAACACTGACTGAATTATCGACTCTAGAATTGTTCGAAACGGTTAGAAAACTGTTTTTTTTAACTTTCAAACAAAAATATGATTTAGCTTTGATTTCGGTTTAAATTTTTTATTAATCCACTACTGTTTTAAATGTATTCATTTATCACATATTATTCCACCACTGTTTTAAATGTATTCAGGTCACATATTATCATCATTCATTCAGGTCACATATTATCATCATACCAAAATCTAGAGCACAAAAACGAAAAAAGAAAATGGATTCTGCAAAGAGCTGCAAATTAATCACACAATTTTTTTAAGGAGATATAAACTTGAATTTACAGAGAACGCCAGCAATAATACAAGCTAAAGGTGATAGAAATATTGAGTTGAATTTGCAGAGTACATCCACAACACTGATGTACTCTTGCAACGTGTCTGGCCAATTAATGTTTGGTTACTTAAATGGGATGCTACTGCGACTTAGTTTTAGTTTACAGTACTACCTATCAGACAGCACTGATGGCACTTCAAGCCAACTGTTAGTCTTTGGCCTTGGCCTTACCTTAAGACCAAAAATTAAGACCTTGGCCTTGGTCTTGGCCTTGAAACTGTTGGCCTTGGCCTTAGTCTTGACAATTTTGGCTATAGCCTTGATTGTTTTGGTGTTAGCCTTTCAAAAAAAAATGCATAAAATTAAAGAATTAAAAGTTTTCATTTTTTATTTTTAGGTACTTTTGTTTTCGGCTTTAATATATATCTACAAGTATATTTTCTTATAGTCTTCGTTGAATTCTGCGCATAAGCATGGTCTATTTTTACAACATGTGGTTTTATTGACACAGTTTTTGCTACCTACAGTTTTTTTAATAATTGGCCTTAACGTAAGGCAAAAAAAGTCTTTGGTCTTGAAAATGTTTGCGTAAGCCATGGCCTTAAAACTCTCATTCTTGGCTTTGACCTTAAAATTCTAAAAGACCTTGTCCTTGGCCTTGTAATTTTTTGCCTTCGTCTTGGCCTTGACCTTGGAACATGTGGTCTTCGCCTTGGCCTGGCTACTTTTTGCCTTGTTAACAACTCTGCTTCGAGCTATCATGCTCAGTACAATGGACTGCAACAATAGATTACTGAGCCTGTAGACCACTATTATGGTCATGTCCTCCACTTAGTTGTAAAAGAGGTTCCTGCAAAATGCAACGTTCTTATAAATGGAACATAAAAAAAACTTGTTGAAACACAAATTAGAATATACAAGATGAAATGATTGAAATTGATTAGTGAAACAAGGTCGTTGGTTAAATCAAATACTGCAATGGAGATGTTGGCAACATTAGCTGAACCAACTTCGACAGTGTTTGTCAATTTTATTACACTTCTGTCAGTGCTAGGGAGTATTTTAAATAAAAACTTTCGTATTTGTTTTCTTATTACTTTTTTTGGAAATTTTTATTATTTATACTAATCAATTACATACACAGCACACGATTGTCTTTCATAGTATCTGCCACTATTTATTCTGAATTATTTCTCGTTTTTTACCTCTTACAGTCTACTTTTGTTTCAAAAGGGTAATTATTTCACGGGAATCAATCATTTTAAATCAAAGATAGCTGCCATTAACCGCAAAAACGAAACGGCTTCTGAATCAGTAAATGGAAATTAAGAAAATAATGAAGATTTACCGGCCATCGTAGATGGTACCTTTTTCAAAATTGTAGCTAGATTAAAAAAAGGTTATATGCCCAATATGCTTATTATATGTACGTAATTTGAAGTCATAATTGGGCACGTTGACGACAACATCAAATTTTGTAAAGCATTTGAGGATAATTTTTAATTTTGTGTTAGTTAAAATTAATTTATCTTACCTATTATGAACAAAATGCTGTTGGTAATTGATTATCAGAAAACAAATGTTTAGTTTTGAATTAAAGGCAAGACAGTACAAATTAATATTATTCAAAATTTACAATACTTACTCAGTTACAACAAAGTAAAAACTTAGCTTCTGATGGGTTTTATGTTTATTGTATAAAACTCGCACAAGAGTCGTTTTGGAGACTATAAGACACATAAGGCAGATGTTCAGAGAAAACATAAGCTAGACAAGGCTGGCGTAGGAAGAAGTTGAAACAAACTACTTATCATAAAGTTGCATTGGGATTATCAGCGTGTATTATTTTGGAAGAAGAAGAAGTTGACGACATAATTTATATTACATTGCTAAAGAGAAGTTAATTCTTAAGTTCTTATAAAGTTCTTAAGGTACGGTTAAAAAACCGGGTTTTTGTCGATTGCTTCAATGGTTTAACCCTAACGTAAACTTCATGTGTTGTATGATTCTTAATAAGCGTTTAAATTCAAAGCTTTCTAAGATGCATAAAAAAATATTAAGCAAACTGAAAAAGCATTATTTATTTGCAAGACTACTGATACTAGGTCATTCAATAGAAAAAGTTATCTTAGAATGACGGCGCTTTTTATTGAAATCCCTATAGATGATTCTAATACGGTTTCACGAGCATCTGTATCCCTTGTTTGCCATATGATTTTATGGTATTTGAGAATTAAAGTTGCTAACAAGGCTTTTAATACAGACAATACATTTAAGCTTATCTACAGAGCAAGTCTGGCAAAAATGCACTTTAACATATTTCTACAACATTGGATATATTGCATGGGGATAATGTTTATTATGGTCATGTGTTTTTGCATTTGCATATCTTACAGGTGAAGTTGAAAGCGTTTTAAAGTTGCGAGTTAAACCATGCTAAATTATTTGCGGCAGCAATGTTAGCAAGAAAACTAGTTTTGAAAAGGAAATGAGACTTAATGTGATTATTAAAAGATTAATTCATACAGGATTGTTGCAGTAGTTTTTTGCCTACTGTTTAGTTTATGGTAAATTCCAAAAAATAACTAAGCTATCTGCAAAGAAATATTAAAAAAAGTTATACTAGCTGCCATTGAACCATCGACAGCAACCAATCTTAATGTGACCACTGACAGCACAATTGAAAATATTATTGCATTCTGTTTCATACATTTGAAAAAAGATCCTAATATAAGTAATATAAATAATATAAACTTAATTTGTTACAATTAACAAAAAAATTAAAGCTGATAAATATTAGTAATACTCAAATATATTTTTAGAAAAAGAGAAAAAATATTTTTAGTTTAGTTTTGATAAGATGTATTTTTATTTTCGCCAATAAACAAATAATTTTATAATATACTTGTAAAAAATAAAATATATTCTTTAAATTCTGTCAGGAGAAAGCAGAAGACAATACATCTTATTGCCTTGCTCGTTTGGTAGCAAATTAGTTTACTTTATTTACACGTTTAAGTTCATAAAGTATAATATATTTTATTTGAATCAAGTTAAATTGTTCATGAATTTAAAAAGTTCTTTACCGAAATTGTCCATCGGTACCAGAAATGGTGCCATTTATTAAATCTAACCAATAAAAGCATTTTTATTTTTGTATTTTTAACTCGTTTTGTTATGTATTTAACTTTATGTGTATGTTTAAATTTTAAATATGTATGAACTAATTTTATACTTAAGACAAATTCTTCGAAAATTTAGATTATAAATTTTTATTTTTAAAATGGCGGCTATTATTTTGTAATAAATGATTAATTTTATTTAAGTTAAAAAAGAAAAACCACTTAATATGTACAAAGGTATTATTTTTATTTATTTTTTTAATTTTTTTTTTTTGTAGTTATTTTAGGTGCTCCCAGAAGTTCTTACGGTCTTATCATAGAGCACCGCCGGAGAGCATTTAACAAGAAGTTCACGCCTCCTTCTGTACCAGTGTCGCATTTCACGCACATGTTAATTAATGATTTTTTTAAAGACAGTGTAACACTGTCTTTAAAACTGTTTTCTCATAAAAACTCTTAACACTGTCAGTGTTAACAGTTTTTATGAGAAAACATGAATTGTAATTTATTTCTGTATTTTTCACCTTAGAAAACTGATTCTTCTACTCGGTTTAGTTAAGGTGATTTATCAATTATTCGAATTATTCGAATTTTATCTTTTTGATATGATGTTCAAAACCTTTTTATTACCCTAATTGTGAATTTAAAGAACAGTTTTTCGATCAATTCTGCTCAACAGCGTAACCTTAAATTAATGTTCAATCACTTTCAGTCATTTGAAAGCTGCAAATAATATAAACTATTTATTTTTAATTGTTCATTATATAACTCTAATTAAAAGCTAAAAACACGTTGCGTGTATTTTGTACCGCTCAGCTGATATATTGTTCCAACATTTTTGGATATTTTGTTTTAGAATCAGCCTGCCACTATTTGAGAGTATCACAATACCACGTGATTTTTTAACTTTTTTTTAAATAATTTTTTTTTAAATTTTAGATGTCAAGGTACTTAGCAGACCTACCAGTCATATCACAGAGCAATGTGGAAGAAATCACAGTATCAATACCATAATATTGACTTAATGTTTTATAAAAATATTTCCAACTGGTTTGGCTGTGAAATTTTGTTTTGCTAAAGTTATTTAAAAAATTATAAGTTCGCGTATCTAAGCTTTAAAACAATACATTAAACGTGCATCTCTTGGTCTAGCCTAAATTACTATTTAGTTATATCAAATTACTACAAGCGATCTTTATGATGTTGTCTTTAATTGTGCTCAAACTCGTCAGACTATATCTACTTAATTTTTCAGAACTTTTAAATTTAGGGGTGCCATCTATAGTTAGTTAAAACGTCGCTATTTTTGAATAAAATGTTTTGCTAAACAGATGAAATAATTTAGAAAAAAATAAAATTTATTTTATTTTTATTATTTTTTTTGTTGTTTCACCTTCAGAGTTTATGAGCATTTTTTTTTGTTGTTCCACCTTCAGAGTTTATGAGCATTTTTAGTTCTAGTTAATTCAATAAAAAGTTGGAAACAGCGCTTCATTTACAAATGTAGCCAATAGTATTATAACCATTGAATTAAAATGCATATAAGAAGAAAATAAGATTGAGCGTTATAAGACAAAAGAAAAATTTTATATTCTAAAATAATTATTTTAATGTCAATCAGTATTAGGACCTAAAATTATTACTAAAAATTTTTCTTTCAAACCTTTGAAGCTTAATAAAAAAATGTTGTAGTCAGATAAAAACAAATGCAAGTCATTTACTATGCAAATTGACTGAATTTTCTTTTAATATTAGAAAAAAAAAATATTTAATGAAAATAAAATATTGAATACTTGATGTTTAAAAAGTATCAAATCAAATGTGATATTAATAAAATAAATGATAATAAAATGTTTCAAATGTTGTAAATATTTTATTGCTCACACTTGCATCACAACTCGTCAGGGAAAAAACTCGCATTCCGTCAAATATTGTTTTCCAGATAAATAAATATTGCATGGACTTTATTTTAACAATATTTAGGTTTGTTAATATGAATGGGACACCACATCTCCTTGAAAGCCTAACTCCGCCTCTTTATGTTGTAAAAAAAATTATTTATTTATTTACAAAAGTAGTTGACTAGTATATATGTATTTCAATTTAAGGAAGAGCTCTTCTTTATTAGTGAAATTTCACGTTTGTCGATTATTGATATTTCTACAATTGCGTCTAGTGAAATTGTTCGATCGGTAACGGTAAAAAATTCTTCTTTAAGCCTTGGTTTATCACAACAGTTGTCATCGTATGAATTAGAGTTTTTTCTTAGTTTGAACGTTGATTTTCCTTGTAAGGAAGAAAAGTTCAGGATTGTTTCACCAAGTGTCTTTGTACATCTGTTACTTAAGTTTCTTCTGAGAGTCGAGGAACATTTCTGAGATGGTTCTAATTACAAAATGTATTATTTAAATGTATATTAAACTCCGTTTAAACAAATCACGAAAAAAAAAAAAAAATAAAGCTAATATTACAATTTAACAATATATTAACAACTATTCGGTTTATTTGCTAGTAGGTAAATCATAATAAATTATGATGCACTGACAATTATGATAACATCACACAAATAAAATCTTAAAGTAATGTTTTTGTCTTTGCCGATAAATCAAAAAAAATCTGTATAAACCTGTATTACTTATATCAACCTTTGTATCATAAGCTTTATACTGAAAATACTACAAAAAACATATACTGTTAAATTGTGCTTTATCATAAAATTTAACAGCATTAATACAGATGCTAAAATCATAGCAAAAGGTTTGTACATAGATGGTAGACTAGATTGTCTAGACATGAATACAGTATTCTTTACCATAAAAGATCACATGGATAATTTCTTCAACATACCTCAATGACAATAAGAAAACCTAACTTAACCTGTAATCCAAAAATTAAAAGTTTATTAGATAATATCAATTGTACAGTGAGGAATGTATACCCACGTACATCTTAGGCATAGTAAAAATGACAACCTAAAATGATTCGAATTCATAAAAAAATAAGTTTGCTTTCATTCAATACGATTTTAACGAGTTTTTTACCCTTCAATTTTGAAACAAATTCTTCAAGATTCTTTAAGGAATGCAAAACATTTACCACACCAAAAAATATTTACCACATCAGGATATCTTTAAATCTTCTTTCAGGAAAAGACATGTGGTTTAAAAAATCAGCAGACCCTAATTTTGATGTCACTATTCATAGTTTCGACGGAGCCGAATTATGCAAATTAGTTGGCCTCTTTATCTAACCTAATGTTGCCAAAGAATATGGAATTAATACTACGGTTCTATATAGAGATATAACAGTCTTGGCTGCTTTTATACCCAGTGGGCATTTCGACGTCGAACGAACGTCGAGCGACGTCGGATCTCGACGTCGGATCGACGTTGGGTTTACGTTGGAAATGGAAATGTTATTTGACGTCGGATAAACTGACATCGCGCGACGTCGGCATTCCGATGTAAATCCAACGTGTTTTTTGAAAACTAAAAAACATTGCCTTTAGCAGTAGTCGAACATCGGTCTATAAGATACTAAATCCTACGCGCTTACCACTACACCACAAGGACATATTGTTCCATGTGTTTATTTAGTAATTTATACTTGTAGCTATTTGGGAATTATTACTTTGATAAGAAATAATTTTGTTTAAATATTATATAAATATTAAAACGAATAGTTATATATTATAAAAAATGTATACTCGAAATGGTTAATAGTTAAAAAACTATGCTAGTGCATCATACAAAACCTCATGATGTTTTATCAACCATTATTCAAACTTTTTTCCATTAATAAAAAAACACGCTTAGTTCACATAATTATTGAAGAGCGCAATTGCACACATATTGTTGGGTTTGGATTAAATTTTCATCAGCGATGTTTTACGACGTTGTTCCGACGTCGTTTTAAGGACGTTGGATTGACGTCGGAAGACGTCAAAAGATATCGGAGTACGTTAATATTATGACGTTGCCCGACGTCTTTTTATCGACGTTGGATCGATGTCAGTACTGCTACGTTTTTTGGACGTCTTTTATAAGATGTCGAAACAACGTCAAAATACATCGAAACGACGTCAGGGGATGTTGAGATAAAGACATCGCCCGACGTCATTTTACTGACATCGGAACAACGTCGGAATAGGTCTTTTGACATCGCTGATGAAAATCGTACGTAAATCCGACGTCGGATTGACGTCGGGTGCCCACTGGGTAATATTAGTGGTCCCAGAAATTGGAAAAAGTCAATAAAAATTTGATTAATCAATCGGAAAAAATAAATAAAAATCTAATCAAAATTTTTAAAGACGAAACATTACGGTTAGTCAAAATTTAACCAAAATTAACATTACTGTTAGTCCAAATTTAAAAACTATAAATTTTACTGACATCACATTTAACATTTCTGAGAACTCTTTTCCACCTTATAAAAAGGCAGGTGATAATCTTTTATATATTAACATCGAATCCACCAAATATCCTTAAATCAATACCAAAAATGATCTCTAATTGCATCAGTTATATATCTTCAAGTAAAGAAGCATTTGATAGAGCCACACTATTAGCTAAAAATAGCGGAAGAGTGGTAGCAGGTTTCTTGCTTTTAAAAACGCGGAAGGTAGGGGTAGCGCTTTCAAATATTTGGTAGCGATGTCAAGCTCAGTTATATTTAACTGAGTCTTACTAACTTATTTGTTTTCAATATTTGCTTTACTTTTTATATAACACGCTGTATTGAGCACTCTTAGAAATATTAAAATAGTTTCTACAACATATATATATATATATATATATATATATATATATATATATATATATATATATATATATATATATATATATATATATATATATATATATATATATATATATATATATATATATATATATATATATATATATATATATATATATATATATATATATATATATATATATATATATATATATATATATACTAGACATCATTGAATATGTTTGGTAAATTATTTTCTATAAAACAATTAAAACATCTTTGATTTTCTTTGCAATTTTAAATATTAACACCTAACTTTGAATGTTAGTTGGTATACCTTTGAATTTGCATGAATAAATTAATTTCAAAGTTTTGTCTCATCCTGGAAATTAGACTTTGAAATTAATTCATTTAAACAAATATAAAGCATACCGACCTACATTTAAAGGCTTAATCAAGTGTATTAAGGGGCAACTACCCTCACATTTTTTTAAAAATTTGATTTTTTTTTTTTTTAATATTTTTAGACCAAAATTTTATGCAGATTTTGAATCTGCAAAAAAAATCAAACATTTTTTTATAAATTTTTGTTTAATTTATGTTTTTTTGAACTCAAGTAAAAAATATTTGCATAGCAACGCGTTGCTATGGGGGCGAATATTTTGTTTGTGAACATATCCTGGAGTACTGTTTCAAATATATGCTTTGGTTTATATCTTCTTTGCTAATTAATATTCTGTTCCTTATTATATGCCATTTACAATTGCTACTTTAATACGATTTTATCAAGTTATCAAAGCTAATTTATATAACAGCAGAAATTAAAAAATATGACAAAACCTACTGATTTGGGTGTTATTTTGAACAAAAATATTAATGATAGAGTAAAGCAGAGAACAAATTACTATAAAAAAAGAAGAGGATTTATGGTGAAGAAAAATAAAAATGCATGTAATGTAAGTGAATGTGACTCTATTGAAAGAAATATTTTGGGCGCATCAGCTAAAAAAGTAAAAGTTGTTACAAATGTACCAAGTAAAAACATTAAAAGAATTACTGGTTACAGAATTATAGACACTGAAATTTTATCTAAAGTTCTTTCATTGTTAATGTGTCCTCAATGTGAAAAGTGTGCACTGTACTTAGGTGATCATCAGAAAAAAAAGAAAGGTCTAGCAACGTTGCTATATTTAAAGTGTACTACACTATCTTGTGACTATAAACATGAATTTTATACATCAGTTGCTTGTGATAAAGGGTTTGATATTAACAACAGGACAATATATGCAATGAGAGTCTTAGGCCATGGTCATTCTGGCATTGAAAAGTTTACTCAGCTCATGAATATGCCAAAACCTATGACACCCAAAAACTATTCAAAAATTACAACTAAAATAAAAAACATAGTGAAAAGTGTTGCAAACGAAACAATGTCAGATGCTGCAACTGAAATGAAAAAAAATGCAACTAGTGAGGACATTGTTGATGTTGGTGTATCATGCGATGGATCATGGCAGAAAAGAGATTATCAGTCAATGAATGGAGTTTTTACCGCAATTTTAATAGATAGTGGAAAAATAATTGATGTTGAACCTATGAATAAATCATGTAAAGCTTGCTGTATGAAAGAACAATTAAAAAAATCAAATCCTGATGCATATGCTAATTGGAAAAACAAACATATTTGCCTGTACAATTATCAAGGTACAGCTGGTGGTATGGAATCAGTTGGCGCAGTGAGAGTTTTTAAACGCTCCATCGAAAAACATAAGTTAAGATATACTCAATTTCTTGGTGATGGGGATAGTAAATCCCATCTTTCTATCAAAGATATATACCCAAATATGGAGGTAAAAAAGTTGGAATGTGTAGGACATTACCAAAAACGAGTTGGTACTCGCTTACGCAAGTTAAAAAAAATGTTAAGGGTCTAGGTGGTCGTGGTCGACTAACCAATGCAGTTATTGATCGCTTGCAAAATTTTTTTGGTGTAGCTATCCGGAGCAATACAAATGATCTGAATAAAATGAAACAAGCAGTATTAGCTAGCCTTTTCCATGTAGCTTCTTCTAAGGAAAATAACTATCATATTTACTGCCCGACTGGAGGTGATAGTTGGTGTAAGTTTAACATTGATAAAGCAAAGTCTACTTCCATATACAAACCTGGACCAGGAATTCCTGTGGATATTATTCACAAAATCAAGCCAATATATGCTGATTTAAGTAAAGATTCTGAATTAGTAAAGTGTCTTCATGGCAAAACCCAGAATTGCAACGAGAGTTTTAATAATTTAATATGGGATAGATTACCAAAAAGTAATTATGTTGGTTTAGCCAGTTTAGAGTTTGGAGTGTACGATGCTGTTGCAAATTATAACATCGGTATGAAGTCTGTCATTTTAATTTATGAAAAACTAAATATGAAACCAGGGCATTTTACTTTATCTGGTTGCAGACTCATAAACAAAAAACGAATAAAACTATCATTATTTAAATCGAGTGAAAGTTTTAAGATGAAACGAAAGATGTTACGACGTCAACGATTATCAAATGATCATCAAAGGTCAATAGAAAAGTCCAAGGAATATTATGAATCTGGTAGTTTTTGAAATATTCTTTTAAAAAGCTATTTTTTTAAAGATATTTTTATGAAATGAACAATAATTTATGATTTTATTTTTTGTTTTGTGTTTTCTGAGAATTTAATTTTTTAACACGCCGGGAAAAAAATCTTGAAAAGTATACATGCTATCATGATGAAATTTTCAGGGATCGTTCATTTTACCAATGTTTATGATATGAGCGGAGTAGAATTTTTCATATGACTTAAGATTTTGAGTTTTTTAGTTTTTTTCTTTGTATTTTGACCTTTTTTTTAATAATCTAATTTGACTGTAGCTTTTTATCAAAAAAAAAATTTTATTTAAAAATCTGCTTCGCTCATATCACAAATTTACATATTTAGAACAGTTCTACAAAATTTCATTGACACTCCTTTACTCATAATTCTTATTTTTTTTACGGTGTAAACACAGTTTTTGTGGGTTTTTTAGCTATTTTTTTGAGTTGCCATAGCAACGAGCTACCATTTTATGTATTTTTTGGTATTTTTAATGTCAGTATAATATTTACTATATGACTAAAGAAAAAGTTACTTTATATGTGTTGTTTTGAAATTTGAGGGTAGTTGCCCCTTAAAATTACAAAAAAAAAAAATCTAAAATGTTATAATTATGTACTAGAATATAATTTACCTAACTTGTACCAAATATTATAGTGTGTATGGTACAACCTTAAAAATAGGGTGCAAAGTTGTAAATGATCCTAAACGCCACTGCCTTTTTTAAATTAAATTAAATCAAGATTTAACTTACGCAAAGTGTCATCAGTTCCTTTTATATCAACTTCTTTTTTTTCAAAATCTTTATCAGGAATTTCACTCTTTTCAATGTTGTCTCTTAAAAAACGTATTGTTTTGCAATTTTATAAATAATACAACAATTGTTTCTTGGTAAATGTTGTTATTTACAACAAAAATAAAAAAAAAACAAGAAGTTTAAAACTAAGTGGTGGGTTTTAGGCTACTAACTTTCAGGGATGCGGAGTCCCAAAAGGACTCCAGCTTTATATTTTTATTTTTCCTTAAATCTGGTGTCCAGAAGCTCTAAACGTGTTGGTTGACTTATGATCTGCAAAAAAAATTCATGAGATTTAATGACTTGGAATTTCCCGGAGTCCTTGCCGCCATTATACCTAAGAATTCCGGGTTCAAATATTGATTGTTTCTCTAAACTAAAAGTCTGTAATTTTTATTTCTTATTAGTAGTCTTTAAACTTTTTTATATTTTTAGGATACCAAAAACTAGGAAGAATTTATTTTGCATTTCAGTTTTTCCCAGGAAAAATTTAAATGCAAAATAAAGCTCCGCTATTGCGAATAAAACTAAAGATAAAAAATTCACAAACAAAATACCACAAATAAAATTTTATATATTATAATATGTTACAGAAAGATATTGATATATTAATATTAAGGCAATAATAGATTAAAATTAATAACCTTAAAATAATTTCGACTTCAAAGATAATTTAACTTAAATTAACTTAAAAAACGTAATCTATCATTGTTTAATACTAATAACTTCTTGCAAAAACTATATGAAGAGAAATGGGAAAAAGTCTATGAATGTCATTATACTAATGAAGTATATAATGCCTTTTTCAATAAGTTTTTAAATATATATAATGAAATATTTCCATATGAAATAATAAAAACGAAAACGAAAACAATAACTAACCCTTGGATGAACAAAACTCTGGTAAAATGCTCGAAAAGAAAACAAAAACTCTATAAAAAACTTCTCAAAATTAGGATTATTGAAAACGAAAAAAAATATAAAAACTATAAATACTTTTTTTAATGCTTACTTAAAAATGCGAAAAAATGAATGTAAATCTGATATAACAAAACTATGGAGTGTAATTAACAATATAAAGGGTCATAAATAAAAAACATCACTTCCTTTCAATATTACTATTAATGATGGTATTATTCACTGACCTATGTAAATGTCAAAAAAGTTTAACAATTACTTTACTAACGTTGGTCTAAATTTAGCTAGTAGTACCTCCAATTGGTTCATTTAAAATCTATTTAAGTTCATCTATTAATATTTTATTATTTATACAACCCCTTTTATAATTAAATAGCCTTGATATTATAAGTTATAAAAATTACACGGCTAATGAAAATAACTGGCAACTAAACACATACCAACACAAATATGATAACGGTTGAATTCCACTCAGCGAAAACAGTTATCACTGCTTTAGCAAAAGCAAAAAATTTTAAAAATTACTCACCAAATATTTTTATAAATGAAGATTTAACAGAAAACGAAAGAAATCACGAAAAAAATCTTAGAAAAAAAAGAAATGATCTTAATAACAAATTCAAATACACAAGATATGACATTGACGCAAATCGTGAAAATAAAAAATACTACTACAGCATAAGAGATCAACAATTGAAAAAAAATATTTATTAAAGAATGACTTTATTATGTGCCGTCATTTAATTATCCAAATCAACTTAGCAATAACAATACAAGCTTAACTAGTAATAACCCTACTCTTGAAAATTCACAACCTAAACAGTTCATATTTATTAAACAAAATGATACCATTGAACCAAATGATCCCTTGTTTATTCAATCTGAAGCTTATACAAACGAAGCGGTTAACAATGTCTTTAATAGCAACATTCCCACAAATTACAACTTTGATAACTTTATTCTCTCTTTTGATTACTCAACGAAAAAAATACTATCGATTTTGCATTTAAACATAAACTCGATAAAGTCAAAATATATCCTAGAAATCAAACAATACTAGATTTATATTTGATAGAGATAACAACGCTTAATGAAACAAAACTTAATGACACATATCTAATAAAGAATTTCTTTCTAATAATTACAAGACTCTGCGTAGAGACGGAAAAGACAGCATTAAAGGAGGTGGCATTCTCATTTACATTAAAGACAACTTGAAAGTTTTATTTTCGAAGTTTTGATTATGAGATTATTCATTTCCAAGTAATGCACAACAAATTGAACAACAATTTTATATGCTGTTATAAGCCAACAAATATTAATTCTCAATGCTTTAACAACTTTATAGAGAGCCCAATATTAAATCTCAACCAAAATGAACCATTATTTATTGTTAGTGATCTAAATCAAGATCTTAACTCGCAATATGGAATGCAACTAAATGAGTTTCTCATGAATAACAACTTAAAAAATAATGTTGGTAAACCAACTAGAGCTAAAACTAAATTTAATATAAAAGAAAATAAATAAAAAACATCTAAAAGAATGATTGATGTTTTATTGAGTAAAAATTCAACTAAAATGAAAACGTTCGTATTAGAAACTTCGTTTAGTGATCATTATGCAGTCTTTGCAGCAAACGATGGTATCACTGAATTAGTCAATTACTCAAAAACAATTAAAAGCAGGCAACTAATTAATAAAAAAATAACTATCATATCCAACGCAATCAAGAATACCAATATACAGTTCAAAATTAATGACTGATATGTGGAACCACTTTAAACACAAAATCTTAAATGCTATTTCACCAAAAAAAATGATGAAAATACACATAAAAAATAAAGACAACAATGAATGGCTTGATCAAGAGTTAAAAGATCTGAAAAAATTACGCAATGATTATCATTATGATTACGCAAAAACAAACAATATAACAATTTTTCAAATGTTTAAAAAAAAATGAGAATAGATTTTATAAATTTAAGAAACGAAAACTAACAAGTTATTTGAAAAATAAAAAGCCAAAAAATTTGAATAACTCAAAAGGCTTTTATGTCTTCTACTCAAAATTCATTAAAATTAAATCAAGCTTTGAAGATACTTCTTTTCCTGATTTTATACTTTACAATAACAAGAAAGTATACTTAAACATCGATAAGTCATTTTTTTTTAAGAAATTCTTTAGTACATTTTAATCTAATTTTAATCTAATAATTAATTAAATACAAAGTGATTTATAAAACTTTATTAACAACCACTTCGATAACTTTCATAATATTAAAAAAAAACTTTATTAACAAAATATTACAAGAAACCAATTAACTTATTTGAACAATTTCATTTTATTACAAGAAACCGATAAACTTATTTAAACAATTTCATTTTATTACAAGAAACCGATTAACTTATTTAAACAATTTCATTTTATTACAAGAAACCGATTAACTTATTTAAACAATTTTATTTTATTACAAGAAACCGATTAACTTATTTAAACAATTTCATTTTATTACAAGAAACCGATTAACTTATTTAAACAATTTCATTTTATTACAAGAAACCGATTAACTTATTTAAACAATTTCATTTTATTACAAGAAACCGATTAACTTATTTAAACAATTTCATTTTATTACAAGTAACCGAATAACTTATTTAAACAATTTCATTTTATTACAAGAAACCGATTAACTTATTTAAACAATTTTATTAGAAGAAACCGATTAACTTATTTAAACAATTTTATTAGAAGAAACCGATTAACTTATTTAAACAATTTCATTTTATTAGAAGAAACCGATAAACTTATTTAAACAATTTCATTTTATTACAAGAAACCGATAAACTTATTTAAACAATTTCATTTTATTACAAGAAACCGATTAACTTATTTAAACAATTTCATTTTATTACAAGTAACCGAATAACTTATTTAAACAATTTCATTTTATTACAAGAAACCGATTAACTTATTTAAACAATTTTATTAGAAGAAACCGATTAACTTATTTAAACAATTTCATTTTATTAGAAGAAACCGATTAACTTATTTAAACAATTTCATTTTATTAGAAGAAACCGATAAACTTATTTAAACAATTTCATTTTATTACAAGAAACCGATAAACTTATTTAAACAATTTCATTTTATTACAAGAAACCGATAAACTTATTTAAACAATTTCATTTTATTAATATTGATAATATCAAGTACAATACTAGAAATAAAAACTTTTTAAATTTCAAAGTATCCAACAAACATGATTAACAGACATTTAGGACTTTTTTTCAACAATATAATTAACAAGCATTGCAATAACAACATCAAATTAAAATCAAAAGAATTTAAGGATCTATTTTTAGTAGGGTAAGGCGGGGTGAATTCGTCACGGAGCGAATCCGTCACTTATGCGACTCAGCTTTAAAATAATAATGCATAAAAACTAAGAAATCTATTAACTAGGTTTTTTCGAAACTTTTTCAACTGATATTTGTAGAATATTACTAAATAAATGTTTTATATATTTACCTCCGATTATTCTTTAAATATTGCAAATAAACATTGAAGTTGAAAAAATATTTTTCTGCTTAAATGCCTATCGTCAAAAAATTATCAAAATACGCAATGTTTTGACCACAAAGTATATATTTTTTGATTGATTGATGTCAGTAGTTTTTAAATAATAATTTAAGTTACTATGTTTTTGCCTTTGGAATCGTCACGTAATGATTGTTAGCACATGCTCAAATGAGGGGCAACTTCGTCGATGAAGAAAAGTTAATACGAAAAGTAAATTAGGTTGTTTCATCATGCAAATTTTTAAACTACCGAGCGCCGTTTGAAAGAAAAACAAATTGTGATCAAAATGCGCTCCAAAGCTTTAGACATTTATAAGAGAAAGGCTCTTCAGAATATATTAATTTACAGTTAGCTTTTAAAACTTTTTGAAGTTTTAATTATAAACACGATTTGATGTGAAACATGTAAACAAACTTATTATAATGTATAGTCTGAAATATATATACAGTAAATAATAAGTATATAAAACATATATGTTATATATTTTTAGGCTATCCACTGCCTATTTTTATACATATATAAAATATGTATAAGTATTAA